GACAGGAGTGGCGGTTTGGGAGGGTTTAGTGCTAATCTGTTTGTGGAGAGAGACCAGAGGTGACACAACTCATCACAAACATGGGGAAGTTACACAAGTTACAGAAGGGCATGGTTTCTACACTGCCCTTCCCTGCAGCTCTAGGGCCTGCTGGAAGTTGTGCAAGGAGCCTGGACTGCTGCTCAGAGCCGGCTGTTTTCTCTGCTGGGCGCAGCAGAGCTCAACAGATCCGCCTCCTGCCAACCCCAGCTCCTCTCTCACATGGATGTGGCCCCCAGACCTCTTTTCGGAGACTGGAGACCCCCGTTTCCAGGACACAGGGCCACTTAATGCAGAACACACACTGGCATGCACCAGTCTGAAATGCCCACTAGTCTCCAGCTGGAACCCTGTATCTCCCAGGTGGCTTGTGTGACTCCCGTCTAAGGCGCAACCACTTCCAGCTGTGCCCCCCCATTGACTAGCAACTCAGCATGTTTCCTTTCAACCAAACCATTAGCCTCATAAAACAAGAGCTGTGTTTTACTTCTGTGCCCCATGTCCAACTTAAAAAAATTTCTTGTTACTATTTACTTAGAAAAGCACTGAAAGATTCACTCCTTACTGGAAACCCCTGGGACCAAATGTGTTTCGGAATTCAGCATTTTTGGATTTCGGAAGGTGATGCACACGGCCTACCCTTAGCATCAAGCCAGGGGTCAGCCCTTAATCAGGCACCCAGAGGGCCACAAAGAAATGTCTGAATATCCACATCAAGAGGGTTAAGACTGAGAACAGCCTCCCATCAGCCAGGACGGGTCTCATTGCCAAATGGATTCTGTCGTGGACTTAACAACAAAAATAAACAAACCACTTTTGGTTTCCAGAGCGTTCTGGATCCGGGGCTGGGGGGAAGGGGACGGTGAGCCTGTGCCGGTGCATTTCTGGGAAGCAGGCATCTCAACCAGATCCATCCACAGCTGAGTTAAGGGTTAAGGGACCTTGTGGCCAGTGCTGGGCCTCCAGGTGGTATTTCTAAGCCTTCCTCTGATGGCCTGTGTGCCTCTTCCTCACACACTCCTTCGCCCGTTCCCTCCTTCCGGGCCTCCCCGCCCAGCACTTCACCCTCTGAGCTCGAAGGCTGTTGCCAGGGTCAGCAGCACCCTGCTCTTGCCATCTGTGGCTGCCCGGGCAGCTCCCTGGGAACACAGCCTCTCCCAACAGCTTTCCCATCCCTCCTTCCTCCACAGGTCCTCCCCTGATGCCAATTCAAGGATCTCTCTGTGGGCGCCCCTCTGGAAACCAATCAGGGTAAGAGACAGAAACCAGCTCCAAAGGTCTGGCCCACGCCCAAAACTTTAAGTGAGGTCACGGAAGCAGCACGCTGAAACAGGCATGAAAGACCACCTGACAGTCCTCAGCAAGGAAAGTGACTTCCAAGTATGCATTAGTCAGAACCTGCTTCTATACCGCTCTCACTTCCCAGTAAGCTCCCAGGGTCAGGGCGGTCTGAATCATCTTGAATTATTCACAAAACAGTGGATAACTGATTCCTACTAGGTGAAGGAGTAGTTGTTTGGGGGCTCACACTTTAACCCAGAAAGGCGGGTAAAGTGGAAATCTACGGTCTCTCTCTGCAAGTACTAACTTGAAAACACGTTTCTTTTCCAAAGTGCACTCTTTCATCTTTAAGTAATCCTATTCACGGTCATCCACAAGCTGCATGAAAACGGGGAATTACAGACCTTCCCCACGTCACGCTCAGCCCAATTTTAACACCGAACGACCATCATATCCATGGCCCCAATACTGGGTGTTGAGTTGGAACACTGCGAGATCCCACCCATGGACGGTCCCGTCCAGACTCGGCGATTCCGGGAGCCCAGCCAAGCCGGATTTGGGGACTGGGGTCCTTGGGGAGCCGGAGAAATCGAGCTCAACCTCACTGGCCCTAAGGTCTAGGGCCCGACAAGCGCTCCAAACCACCCCAGCCACTGGGGGCACCAGCTCTGGGCACCAGCTCCCAGGCGCTGTGTTTTGTACAATACCCGATCAGCAGCTCCGAATAACTCTAGGCTACGCGCGGGTCTCAGACCTCGGCTGGATTCACAGCCGCGTCCCGAGGCGGAGCAGAGCCCAGGGCCGACACTACCGGCGGGAGGAAGCGAGCATGTTTCTCTCGGCCCTGAGGGGCGTCGTCCAGGAAAATGCGCTGTCCAGAGCCCCGGGGAACCACGCACACGGAGCTGGGGGGCAGGACCAGCTCCCACGGCACAATCTCGGGTGGGGACGTCCATTTAGGGGGTCCTTGGGCCAGGTGGTGCCCACCCACACCCCAGAGGATTGCGGCAGAAGGTGCCCACTGCCCTTGGCCTTAGAACACCAAGGGCCGTACATTCGCAGTCAGACCCGAGTTTCGAAAACGTGCTTTCCTCTTACCAGTCTCTGAGCTTCTGGGCTCAGACAGTCTATTTCCTTGTTCTGCGTGGCCGCAGGGTTGGTCATCTTGGCCGGCTACAAGCCCACCTTCTCACCGCCGGGAAAGGCACTCAGGGAGGCCGGGCTCGTCGATGGGCGGGCGGAGGGCCCTCAGCGCAGCCGCATCCCGGGACCTGCCCGCGGGTCGAGACGGGAACTCGCCCTTCCCAAGGCGGAGGCGCGCCTCCGCGGTTCCCGGGCCTGGGCGCGGCCGCAGGGGCGGGGCGCAGGTGGCCGCGGCCGCCCCGCAGGGAGCGGGGAGCCCGGGGAAGACAGGCCGGGCTCCGCCCCCTAGTGCCCGCCCCGCCCCCGGTTCCCCTAACTCCGCCCTCGGCGCTCCCGCATTCCCGCGACCCCCCACCCACGACTCCCCCGTTCTCCGTGCGCGCTGCCCCCGAGGGTCCCGGTCCCCGGGCTCCCCGCTCAGCCCCGCCCACCCCGCCCCCGCGCGCGCCCCAGGGGCGGGAGTATCAATCACCAGCCACCCCTCCGGCCCGGACCGGAAAGGCGGGGGGAAAAGACCCCAGCCGGCCCTGCCCGGCCTCCCGCCCCCAGACGAGGGGAGGGGCGTGGGGAGCCTCTGGGAGGAAAGGGCTCGCGGAAGGGCCCAGGCGGGCCCGGGGTCTGCCCTGGAGGGGCAGCGGGAGAACGGTTCGCCGGGTCGGGTGCCTGGGGCGCGGCCTGCGCGGGCGGGGCCGGCTACTCGCCGAACCCAGCAGTCTGCGCGGCGACGTGCCCCGACCGAGGCCAGATTGGGCTTCTGCGGACAGTAGCACCTGCGTCCGGGGCACCCCGTTAACGCACCACCCCGGGAGGGGGCGCGGCTTCGGCGCGCGCCGCGCTCCGCGCCGTTTTCCGCTCTGCCGGCAGGCGCGGCAGAAAACGGGCTGGCGGGGCGCGGGCCCGGGGCGAGGCTGCGGCCGCTCGGGGACAGGGAGCCCACTTCCCGGCGCGCGCCTCTCCCGGTCGCTGAACGCGCGTGGCTCGGTGTTTAAGGCCCTCCACCGAGCGCGGAACGGTTCGTGACCTCGCCGGGCTGGGGCAGAAGCACGGGGCGGAAGCGACGCGCATTTTCACCGGAATGTTAACCTGCCCTGGCCAGGCCCGAAGCCTGCGGCGCCTGGGGCCTTCCTGCGCCCCCTCCTCCTGCCCGTGCCCTGGGGACACGTTTTCGAAGGCTCTTATCGGACCACCTTCCCGCCCCAAAACGGGAACTTTGAACAGAATCGCTCGGCCTAATTCTCTTCAAGGCGTTTCCATAAAGTATTGAGAGACCACAAATTCACATTTAAATGTTACAGTCCCCTAAATTCCAACTCTGTGCCACCCGGACTTAATTCTCCGTAACATGTTGGCGCGTGACCTGTGTGCACTCACGTTCCCACTGTGGCCAGAGGGCCCCTGCGCACCGCGCTTTGGGAGAGGGGTCTCGGGATGAAAGGGTTGCCCGGGAGGGTAGGCGGACAGGCGGGCAGGAGGTTCTGAGGGGCAGGAGGGCCTGACCCAGGAAGAGGGTAGGCTAACAGAGGTCGCAGTGGTAGACATTAAGCAGGTTTCAACTCTGATGGGTGTGCACAGTCCAGGTTTTGATGGATAGTTATCGTTAGGTTGGCAAAAATAACTTATAAAGAGATTGAAATGCCTTCCTTTTTCTTGCTATACCTCTTTTCTTGCTGTAACACTTATTGCATGTTAGTGTATTAAAATTCTTGATTCTGTAAAGTTAAGAGTTGGAGAAAATAAACTACATAAAACAATTCTGGGACTTAGCATTATCATGGAAAGCAATTAAAATTTTGGTAGTAGCAACAACTTTACAGATGGGAATGATAGCCAATTAATAAAATAGCTTTCTTCGAGACTTCGGTTTGAATGTTCCCTTCACATTCTAGAGCTACAGGCCTCCCCAGGCCCTGTGACCAAATCTCCCAGAGCAGACGAAGGAGTCGGGCTCGCTTGCTCTGTCTGTCACAGAGCAGTTCCTGGAGACAGCTGCATTTTCCCCAGCCTGCTTGCTGGGGATGCCGTTATCTGCTTCTTAAAAACCACACAGGAGAGGGTAGAGTAAGTGGGCTCGAATTAAACCATCTGGTTCAATTCCTGGTTCTACCACTTACTATGGGACCATGAGCAAGTCCCTCGGTCCCTGTGTCTTGAGTCTCATGTGAAGCAGTGAGGTTGCCTGCCAGCCTGATGGAAACACCAGCCTGCCTTGCGGCCTCTCAGCCCCCTCTCTCCCCTCTGCCCACAGAGAGGCCCCACCCAAGGCACTGGGGCCTTCCTGTCCTCGCCACAGCAGGAAGGAAGCTGGGCAACAATGGGCTAAAATGGCCAAGAGGTGGGAATACCCAGAGAGGCAGTGGGTGGAGCTGGCCACAGAAGCCCTGGGTGGCAGGACATTGTCATGGAGAAGCAGCTAGCTGACTGCCTTTAGTCTCAGGAATGAACCAACAATACCAGCAATAACATGATAACAGTAAACGCACATTCTTGTTCCACTAAACAGGAGCACATCAGAGAAAACTGCTCTTCTAACATCCATCTAGATGGAGTCTGCTGCCTTCTGGTGTGTGTTTCAGCCCAGCTGGTCCTGTGAGACTGCCAATCTCAGAACCATTCTCGGCTGCGGGGCAAGTGCCCACATCTATGCTGTAGGTGGAGTGCTGAATTCATGCTTCTTGGTGTTATGATTTAGATCCCAGGGCCCAAGAATAAAGTAAAGAGTCTAGTTGTCTTCCTTTAATTCTGATGTAAGTAGGTCTCTAATGAAAAGGGCCCCTCACTGAAGCTCCCTTCCCAGCTCCTCCTTTTTCTAACATTCATAGCAAGGCCACTGGAGGCTAATTAATGAGTGATGCAAACCTACGTATTGGCTTTTGGAAAGTCCGCGAAGAAGTCCAAGATGGGTGTGGCTGTGGGAGGTCACATTCTGGAGTAGGGGAAACAGTCTTCTCCCCAGTATCCAGAGCTCGGGCGGCAGCTGGGCACAGTAACAAACCCTTTACCCTGAAGAAGACAGCTAAAACCACCGAGGAGGATCAGGTGAGGATAAATGAGACAGGAAGCTCCAGGTTTGAATGCTTGGGAGCAGAAGAAACCCAGGGTGCCTTCAAATGGTCTGAGCAGCCAGGAGGGAGAGCCAGGGATGCTCGGGAAGAGGTGGCCATTCATCTGGACTGGGCCAGCACGGGGCCAGGGTCTCTATATAAAGATCTGTGAAGCTAATGACCCAGGTTCAGTCTTGCCCCTCTTTTGATCAGGATCCACTTCTAATGGGCTGGCTCTGAATTCCCCACCCCTTCAAGCTGCCAGGCAGTTAATGACGTGCAAGTATGCAGTCCCTATTGAAGCCCAGGGACTCTGCACTGAGAGGGCACTTAAGGTTTTCTGGAAATGCTGAACCAAGCATCTAAAAGCCACCATGCTTGTGATCTTCTGGGCCTTCCCCAAAGAGGGTAAATATCAAAAACCTAAAAAGCAGTTCTCCAATGTATGACCAGGTTGTATGCAGGACCTTCATTTCCTAAGGGACTCCTGACGAAAGAACAGAAGACAAATAGAATGGTCTGGTTTTGTTCTGGGAACATCAGAATCATAGCTAACCAGCAAATGCCAGAACATTTAACCAGTCTGGCCACACCCAAACTCGGTTTGCTTGTCTCTGTGGTGTCGGTCTGTTTTTAGGTTTGCTAGCCTCGCCTCCCACCGCCGTTTGGTTCTGAGGGCTGGAGCCCTGGAGACCGAGCCAGGGCAGATGGGGGAGGGGGAATGGCCTTCCCAGTTCAGATGACTGACATGAAACCATTTTTCTAAATCATAGCTATTAACAGCCGTTTTGCATGAACATGAATCACCACCCTTATTGATTACAGCAAAATAACATCTTGAAATACTTCTCAGTGAGCTTACATTTATGGTGTTATATTATACGGAAACTTTCGACAAATATCACAGAAGCACTTCTTGTTATTAGGTGGTTCATGAAATGACTACCCAGATGCACAGCACCATTCAGCTTACAAAGCACGTAATCCACTCCCTGAGGCCCACAAAGGGTGAAGAGCTTGCCTTATGTGGGAAGGGTGAAGGCAGGTGTTTAACCCGAATGCCCACTGAAAGTTGGAGCCCTTAGCATCCAGCACACAGCCTGACACAGGGTCCTCCTCCCCAACCTTCCCAACCTGGTGGGGGTCCTCACTGGGAACAGGCAGTCAAAGGACTGGCTAGGTGAATGGCCCTAGCTGTCTCCTTGGGACTCGCCTAGACAGCAAACCTCTCCCACTCCAGGGGCGCTGGCAACACAGTGCACACACCCAGGTCGATGCCGCAGCTGGCTCCCCCAGTTTGAGCTGGGCATTAGCAGGGGCCTCCCATGGGGGAGACAGATCCTGCAGTAGAAGCTGCACCCAGTCAGCTGCGCCAGCTCAGGCCCACAGTGAACTTGGCTCACGGGCCAGGATCCTCACCGAGCATGTGGTGGAGAGAGTGGCTGGGGAGCAGCAGGGATCTGGCTGCCAGCAGACAAGGCGCTCTGCGCGGGCTCACCCGCCCCCCGGCTGGTCAGACACCGCGCCCTTCACCCTCCCAGCTGCCCATGACTTGGGACTCACTTTCCGCCCATCCCCGACTATGAGGGGCACTTCGGAATGGGAAGAGGTTCTCATCAGGAATGATGGATGGGTCGGTGACTTTCCTAATAAAATGAGGACTTTCATGAGTTATCATTGTCTGTCACTGATCTTAAGTATTTTATATTTTCATAGCAATTGGGAATAGACACTCTTTTAAAAATGGCATATCTTTAGGACTTTTTTTTTTGCATAATGAAGAACCCAGCGATCACGACACTTCTTTTTCATCTAATAGATTTTTTAAAAATCCCTTTGGATTTTCTAAGGAAGGTGATGAGTCTGAGTTTAGGCTGGATTTGCAGTGGTGGCGGAAAGCCTTGGTGGGATGCCCAGCAGGTGTTCAGCATGAGAAGTACCAAGTGGTCCAAGGGGATGAGGAAAAAGCAGCCTTCATGTAAGGGAAGAGGCAGAGGAAGGAATCTTGGGACTCCCACATGTAATGAATAAAAGGCCTGTCGGGGATGAGCCAAGACAACGGGGGATGAGAAGCGGAAAAAACAGAGATGTCTCCTGGAAGCAGCCATTCACAGAAATTCCCAGAAGTCTGGTGTGAATGTCAGTGTTAAACCAGGCAGATGGAGTGAAGGGAACAGGGCTTTGAGAAAGCCTTTAATTTTCACCTAGAAAAACATTGGCTATTGCACACTATTGCAGAAATTCTGCAGTGA